CTTTCTCCTTTCTCTTTGCACCGGGGGGCTCTGCTTTTGGCTTCGCAAAGGTCCTGCCAAGATGCTAAGTTGGAAATTGAGGATTCTGACGCCTTGTGCTCGCCTGAAGCTCCTCCTTCCCGGGGTGTAGTCGGTGGGAGGACTGGCAGGAGCCTCTGCGCGGCCGCAGCCAACCCGGCCGCCCGGCGCGCCTCGCCCTCTCCCTCTCTTTCTCTTTGCACCGGGGGGCTCTGCTTTTGGCTTCGCAAAGGTCCTGCCAAGATGCTAAGTTGGAAATTGAGGATTCTGACGCCTTGTGCTCGCCTGAAGCTCCTCCTTCCCGGGGTGTAGTCGGTGGGAGGACTGGCAGGAGCCTCTGCGCGGCCGCAGCCAACCCGGCCGCCCGGCGCGCCTCGCCCTCTCCCTCTCCCTTCCCGGCTCCCTCTAGCGCTAGCTAGCTCTCCCCTCGCCCCTCCCTAGCGCCCGCCTCTCCTCCGCCGCCCCCTTCTCCCCCCTCTGCCCTACCTCCCCCTTCGCCCCTTCGCGGTCTCTCTCTCTCTCCTTCTCTGTTTCAGACTCTCGAGCGCCGGCCCCAGGATGACAATCACATCCCAAGCGCGCCGATCTCTTCCAACTTTCAGCCCCGGCTAACTCGGGGCGGGTCGGCGGTCTGGACTCGCAGCGGGCCCCGATAGCTGCCCAGGCCACTCCTCAGCACAAAGGGAAAGAGGTCGCAGACCGTGCTGGGGTGGACGCTCTGCGCTCTTCTCGCCACAGTTTATCGCACACTTAGCGGATTCCTTGTTCTCCGGAAGGCTGGGCTCGTCACCCACTCCCCACCGGCTTCTCCTTCAAGTCTGGGGTCCCCAGGGCGCACTGGAGATCCGGATTTAAGGACCCGGGAGGGCCGACGGATGCCCACGCCCAGGGTCCTCTCTTCGCCGCTGCAGCAGCAGGTGGGCGAGAGCCAGGCCTAGGGCGTCTGCAAGTTTCGGGCTCGGCTTTCCTTACCCGACCCCCGTTCGACGGTGAAGAAGCTACCCTTGGGGCCCGGGACTGCCGGGATGGCCTTTCTCTAGAGGAGAGGTAGGGGGTAGAATTGGCCGGCCCCTAGCTGCACCCCTGTGGGTTCCCTCACCGCCCTCGTCCCCAAGGATCGAAGCCGCTCTCTGCGAGCTTCCTGTAGGCAACCCGCTCTGCTAGATCCGCGGCGGAGAAGGGTGCGGGGTCCCCTTCCCTTTTGTTCAACCAAGTCGCCGGCCTCTTCACACGCACTCTCGCAACCGCCCAAGCGCCACTGCAAACAGTCGGCACAGCAGCGCCCAACCCAACCACTGTTTGTTCAGCGAGGCGCTGGCAAGGCAAACACACACCACTGAGTCACAGGCAGGGCCCTCACCCACCACAGCCACACAGAATACAAAACAGACCCTCTCCCCGACTCGCCACCTCCCGCCTCCACAAGTCACTGACGCACTGGAAGTCTGGGACAGATAGGGGCGCTGGTGAACCAGGGCAGGGGCCGGCAAGGTTTGGGGCACTGGGTCTATCCCGGACCCTGTAGCTTTCGGAGTGGGGCTATACCCAGGCTTAAGCGTAACTATATACAAAGTTTCTCGCAGAGTCTGGAGCGCTGGACACACTTTACTTTCTGAGTAATCTCCACACAAACTAGCTCACCCCCCCCCACACACACACTGACACCCGCTGGGCCGCTCTGTACCATACACTCCCGCTGACTCCTCCCCTCCGTCGCTTCCTTCCAGGCTCCGCCCCCGAGCGGACTGACCCCTCCAGACTACATTCTCCGAGAACCTCTCCGGCCGCCGAGCCCTGTCCCGTACCCTGCCCTCGCTTCTGATTGGACACTAGTATCTATTCTCCCCGCCCCCTAGTGATGTCAGCCCTTTCGCCTCGGAGTCTCTGAGCCAAAGGGGCGGGGACAGGCGGGGTTTAGTCTGCGCTATTGTCATGGAGACGAGAAGCCAGAGGCAGCGTTGGCGGGTCCAGCGGGCTGAGAAGGCTGCGAGCCCTCGGAGACTAGAGCGAGGCGGAGTGACCTGGACAACTGGAACGGGGAGAAGCCATGGCGGCTGCTCCGACTGTCCCTGCTGGGCGCCCTCCTGGCCCAGGTCGTGGCGAGGAGCGCCTCGGAGCGTCCCCGCCCTGCT